TCAAGTTCCTATTTTCACTTCTTTTGGATATATACTCAGAAGTGTAATTGCTGGATCATATAGTAATACTATGTTTAATTTGTTTGAGGGACAGCCATACTGTTTTCCATAGGGGCTGACCCATTTTGCATTCCCATCCACAGTACACAAGAGTCTTCATGTCTCCACATCCTCATCTTGGCTATTCAGGGTCCCTTGAGATTCCATATAAATTTTAGAACAAATTTTTCTATTTTTCAAAAATCGTCATTTGGGCTCTTGATAGGGCTTGCATAGAATCTGTTGATAGCTTTGGGTTGTACTGGCATCTTAACAATATTATGTCTTCTAACCCACAAAGACAGCATGTCTTTCCATTTATTTGTATCTTCTCTATTTCTTTTAGCAATGTTTTTCCATTTTCAGTGTACAAGTCTTTCACCTCCTTGGTTAAGCCTATTCTGAAGTATTTTATTCTTTTTGATGCTATTATAAATAGAACTGTTTTCTTAAATTCCTTGTCAAATCATTCATTTTTAGTGTATAAAAATGCAACTGACTATTGTGTGCTGATTCTGTATCCTACAAGTTTGCTGAATTTGTTTATTAGTTCTCACAGGTTTTTTTTTTGTTTTGTTTTTGTTTTTTTAAATAAAACCATGTCATCTGTGAATGGAGATCATTTTAATTTTTCTTTGTGAATTGGGATGTCTTGTATTTCTTTTTCTTGTCTAACTGCTCTGGCTAGAACTTCCAGTGCTGGCCGACTGTGATGGTGTGTACCTGTTGTCCCAGAGACTAAGGTGGGAGGATCCCTTGAGCACAAGAGTTTGTGACCAGCCTGGGCAATACAGTCAGACCTTGTCTCAAAAAAAAAAAAAAAAATGCTATGTTGAATAGAAGTCTGTGTGTCTGTTTTGATTATTTTTTCTTTTGTCTTTTATTAATTTTGTTAATTTACCAATTAATAACAAGTCATGGTTTTCTAACTCATGTCTTGTTATATTTTTTCAATGCTGAATACAGTGTATAAAGAATTGTAGAGGCTCTGGATGATATTATTTCCCTCCAGAGAAGATTCGGTTTATTTTAGCAGGCAGATACAGTATAAGTAAATCTTCTTAGCCCAATCAGGAATTGAGAAGACTGTTTTAGGATTTGTGTTTGAGGCTTTCTAAGAACTTGTCTATTTATGGCTTTTCCTTACTCCTAAGGTATAGTCCACTCTTTAGGGGTTTCTATTGAAAGCACAAGGTGTTTATCACAATCCCTTCCACATAGGAAGGTCCTGAAATGCAATTTTTGTCTCCGTAAAACAGTGAGACTTTCTGCTTAGTTTCTTGGCCCCTTACTTCACGCAAGCAAAACTTAAGAATCAGCAAACGCCTCAAAGGTAAGCTGCACAGAGAATAGCGAGTTTATTCTTTGAGTGTCTCTTCTGTCCAAGGTTTTAGTTTCTCAAGTTCTGGCTGTTGTAATTACTCTCTGAAGCCTTCACTCACCTTCATTTTTAAAATCTAGCCATTCCAGTTATTCTTAGTATGACAGCCCAATACAAGCTATTTCATCACAGCTGGAAGCTGAAAGTCTACCTTTTCTTTTTAGCTATGATACAATATACATAATTCTACCATTCTTGTTTATACACATTACAGTGCTTCTAATTGTTGTTTTGCCACCACAAATTATAACGTAGTGAACATCCTTGAATATATATCCTTGTGTACTTGTACGAGTGTTATATAGGATAGATTCTAGGTTGGTTGCAGTGGCTCACGCCTGTAATCCCAGCACTTTGGGAGGGAGGCCAAGGTGGGCGGATCACGAGGTCAGGAGTTCGAGACCAGCCTGGCCAACATGGTAAAACCCCGTCTCTACTAAAAATACAAAAGTTAGCCAGGCATGGTGGCGGGCACCTGTAATCCCAGCTACTTGGAAGGCTGAGGCAGGAGAATCACTTGAACTTGGGAGGCGGATGTTGCAGTGAGCCGAGATCACTCCACTGCACTCCAGCCTGGGCAACAAGAGTGAGGCTCCATCTCAGGGGGAGAAAAAGAAAAAGAAAAAGAAAAGGGTAGATTTCTAGAACTAAGGTTGTTGGTCAAAGACATGTGCATTACATTTTTTTATAGGTAATGCCTACCTGCCTCTAATTTACACTACCAGGATGCTGAGAGTGTCCACATCTCCATATATTCATCAGCACTGGATATTGGCACTCAACTTTTGTAAAATTGATGGGCAAAAAATTATATAGCACTATTCTTTTATCTTACATTTTCATAATCATTGGTGAGGTTAAAACTATGATAACTTAAAAAATATAGTACTAGGAAAGAAGAAACAGTGATCAGCAGCACCAAAAAGTAAGATTAAAAGTATCCACACACATGTGAGTGAGCATATGCATGTACAGTAAATGATAAAGATGGAATTTCAAAACAACGTATATATGAACTATTCAATCAATAGTGCTGGAACAATTGGTTATTTGGCAAAAAGTCAGGTTTTTACCTCATAGGACAAACTAAAATTAATATTGTAGCCTAAGACTTAAATGTAAAATTGTAACCATAAATAACAAAGAAAATGCAGTGAAAATGTATTTGACCTAGGGATGGGTCTATCTTTCTAAGTTTAACAGCAAGGAAAGAATCCAAAAAAAGAGAAAATTTTACTACATAAAATATAAAACTTCTATACATGAAAAGCAGCACAAAATTAAAGGGCAAATAATAAAATAGCAAAATATTGCAATAACATGTGGAAGGTGGAAGAGAAAGTGTCAGTATCCCTAATATATTTAAAAATACCTCAGGAAAATCAGTAAGAAATCAACAAGTATCCAGTAGAAAAATGGCAAAAGAATCTAAGTAGACAATTTGCAAAATTAACAGAAAAAGGCTATTTATGAAAATAACTTTTGAAGAAATTACATTAATACAGCTATCAAATTGGATTGTAGGTGGCTACTTACCAAAACGTAACAGAGTTTATCATCTATTGTTATGTTTCAAGAAAAACAGAATGCAAAATCCATTCTTAATGACATCATTTTTCTAAAAACATGTTTGTACTTATTTTATTTAAAATGATTGGAAACAAATATGCCAAAATAAAAGGTGGCTTCCTCTGAGTGGTGGAATTACAGGTGATTGTGATCTTTTTCCTTTGTGCTTGTCTCTGTTTTCCAGTTCCCTGCAGTCAATGCATACATACCAATTTGTAATCAGATAACTTATAACTTATGAAATTTGGAAAGAACCAGAATAGCATACCTATTCAGATAGAACTAGGAGATAAAGTCATAATTCTTGAAGGACTGAAAAATATATCTGATAAAATGGATGTATCTAATATTTAAAGATTTGCACAAAGGCAAGAAATAATTATCTAAAAGAAAGTAATAGACTAGGAAATATATAAAAATCTCACTGATAAAAGCTTACCATAAAATACAAATAATTGATAAATATATACAGAAATGTGCAGACCCTATTAGATAAGCAAGCAATTGTAGACACATAGTTTCAAAAAAAAGAGGTAAAGCAAAAATAGAAAAATGTGGAGGTCACTGGGAATTAAAGATAGAAAATTAAAATAATTTATACATATTAAAACCTACTTATCTACCAAAAATAAATAAAACTCCAATGTTAGTGGGATAATAAAAAAGAAAGGCATATTTTATATCTTAGTTATGTCACTATAAATTAGTTCGTCTTTGTAAATAATAATCTGGCAACATGTAACAAGAGCTAAAAACCTGTTCACAACCTTATCCAGAATCCCTTTACTGAGAATATACAATTAAGAAAACAGTGGTCTATACAAAGGCATTTATAGAAGGATAAAAATTCTCGAAACAATTCAGCTAATAATAAGGGAATAATTACTTTAATTTGATGAAATACTATATAGCTATTTCGATATGTGGAAATGCATCATGAGAGAATAAGTGAAAACAAACAGAACACAAGTGAATATAGGCATGTTAAAGATAACTATTAAAATGTATCTATATGCACTAAGAGATTAGAAAAGAATTAGCATTATATAAAGTTTTGAACTTAATATTTAAATTCTTACTTTTACAAAGTTGATTAATCTCATAATTTAAAAAAATAAAAAAGATGTTTTAGAACTGACTATGAAATACTGTGGATTTGAGGTGAGAGAACTCCGTTTAGCTAACATATATAAACAAATACACCCAGTAAAGAAATATTCCTTTTCCTTCATGGGAATTATGGTTGTCATTTGATGTATCCTTAGGGCAATTTAGTTATTGTGAAACTGTTGCAATAATAGAATTTTGAATAGTCACTCATCTGACTGATAAGTCATTAAATGTTGCCTCATCTATCACGCTTTTCCTGACTTCCCTTCCATGCTTTGCCTGATTTCCCCAGGCAAATCTATCCCCTTTTTTCTGTATTTCATATGTAACACCATGGTCATAGCATTTATAAGATTGTACTGTGATTATTTAGCTGCATGGCTATGTCTTCCATAGCATCTAGCCCAGTGCCTGGTACATAATAAGTGAGCAATAAATGCTTATGAATGAATGAATGGAGCAAATGAAAGAACATATCAGGAAGATAAATGTCCACTTGTCACTTGAGTCCCTGGAATATTTGATCATTCATTTAGTTTTTATTTCCTTTCGCTAGAAAACAAGAACTTAGTAAGAGGCCCAAGATGGAGTCTAGGTTTTGAAAAAGTAAATAGTAAGGAGATTGCTTCTGTTTGTTGGAGAGACCTGATGCGAGGCAGGCAGATTCCAGAAATGATGGCCCAGAGCTTAGAAGTTACTTGTTTCCCAGTAAGATATGCCAATTTAGAATAATAGATGCAATGAAGCAATGGGTAAAATTAACCTATTAACTTTTGAGTGAGAGCCAGAGAATCAGGTCAAAGTCACCAACAGGACTTGCATAAACCCAGAATTGTAGAGACTTCTAAGAGTTACAAAGAAGGTGACTGGAAGATCAACTAGTACTCAGGTGGGTAAGATATTGGCTAAATAGGGAAATACCTTCCTTACCTCAAGGGATTTAGTGCTAGTGGACTAGTATCTAGAGACTAGAAGTGGATTATAGGTCTGGGGCTACAGGGAATGGCCAAAAAATGAAAACAGGAAGCAGGTTCTGGGAAGGGGTGAGGTATGCATCCCACCTAGCAAAGCATCCACCCAAATCAGCCTCAGAAGTTTCAGAACCTTGACTTGGTATTTACCTCAGTTAGGGTTGAGTAAATAGAGGGAACCAGGAGTATTTTATAATATTCAAGCTAATTTGTGGCTAGATTTTAGAAATTTATTAGGATCTGAGACATATTCAATAAATTTGTTAATTTCTATGTGTATATATTTTAGTTTTTCATTATCTTTTTAAAGCAAAGTTTCTTTAGAAAATTCTAACCATGTTATATTTGAATTTTTAGGAAAGGGACATTCCTACATCATAGTTAGGATGGAAGAAAGAAATCCATATACTCCTAAAGCCAGATGCAATGTTAATAGCTCTGGAATGCAAGGAGTTCAAGCCTTGTTGGCATTAAATATATGTTCCTAGAGACAGACAAAAGTCAGCTCTAACTCTTGGTCCTTTCCTCCTTGGTTGATTTCCTCTCAATTTAGACAAAGAAATTAAGTGACTGGAGTTAAGTGCCAGTGAAAAGGGAAGGAGGCTGGTTTTCAGCTGGGAATACTTGCCTTACTTGCCTTAACTCTAATTACAAACATACCTTTCTTGGGTAATGATAAAAAAGGACACACACACAGACACACACACACACGCACATATACAAACTAACTTCTGGGTTTGTAAGAGGCAATCCACTATCTAAGAGCCAATCTTTTACAAATCTACTCCCTTGTAGTTTAAGATTGTATTACTTTTCTATTGGTTCTGTAACAAATTACCACAAACTTGGTGGCTTAAACAACACAGATTTATACTTCTACAGTTCTTGGTATCATGAGTCCAAAATGAGTATTATGGGACTAAAATCAAAATCAAAGTGTCAGCAGGGTTGATTCCTTCTGGAGGCTCCAGGGAAGAATCCATTCCTTGCCTCTTCCAGCTTCTAGATGATGTGGGAATTCCTTGGCTCACAGCCTTATCACTTTAATCTCTTGCTTCTGTTGTCACATCTCCTACTTTTATAGTCTGGTCTTCCTCTGACTCCCTTTTATAAGGACACTTGTGATTACATTTAGGGACCACCTGGGTAATCCAGGATAATCTCCCTATCTCAAATAAGTCCGTTTTGCCATATAAGGTAAGGCTTATAGGTTCCAGGAATTAGGACTTGGATATCTTTGGGGAGTCATTATTCAGTCTTCCACAAGAGTAGTTTAGAATTTCTTTTAGATAACAATATAGTAATTTGTTTAATTCAAAAAGTCTATCACTAAGTTTAATATGTGAATTAATTAAAAAATAAGTACTAATTAAAAATAAGTACTAATTAAAAGTAAGTATTATATTAAGGAATCTTTTATATTATGAACTAGTTCATTAAATGACAAAGTATGAAAGACCTAAAAACAAGTTCCTTGGCTATCATTCCATATAAAATAAGCAAGTATTTGAAAAAGAGGTACAGGTTCCAAGAAAGGAGAGAACATGTTATTTAAGCACACACTTGGAATAAAGACACAATATTGGCTGATAATAGTCATGCCTTATGTATCCAAAGGGTTCAAAAAACACACCTAAAATTATCAGGCCTGCTCAGAATAGAGAAGGTAAGAAACTAGGATTCTAGAGACTCTAAATTCCTTCTCAGCTCCAGCTTAATAAAGCAACACACAATCATGAAGAATTAAAAAGGATGGAAGCCAGCCTGTATTGAATAATGCTTTGATTCTAGCAGCCTGGCCAATCTCCTTACCTAGGCTGGAATAAATGTGGCTGAGAATACGAGCTGGTTGTACTCTGATGGGGTATACCTCAGCAATGGTCTCCACGTCAATTCCCTTGTCCTTCAAAATGGCCTTGATTTCTTCTGTTTCAGCTAGAATGGAGACTATAGGAGACAAAGAAGATGAGGTCACCAGAAAATTTTATTTCAATAGCAACTTAGAAATCTCTCAAGTTATATAATTTCTTTTGAAGAGAAAAAAAGGAAATGGGAGGAAATGAACAGTTATTGAGGGACTTTGATAAAATAAGTGTCATGTTAAATACTTAATATTATCTAAAACGAAAAGGAAAAGATCTCAAGACTAGAGCATTAATTTTTGCTTTTTAGCTAAATATGTATGTGCTCCTAGAGAATACCATACTCTCTTTATATCTAAGATTCCATGTTTAAATGGGGGAAAAATCCATCATGAGGTTTGGTAGAGCTTTGGTAAAAACTGACTCCCCTAGTTCTTTCATATCAGTAAACCTAAGGTCAGAGCCAGGTATGTGGGGGTAATAAAGAACATCCTAATGACAGGAGTTGCCTATAGCTAGAGAATGATAGAAGGCATGGTGAATTGGGGATAACAATTTGAGCCATCAACATATAGAATTGTATGTTTTTTAGGCGGCAGGTAGGGGGTGCTGGGGAGAGATGGGGATGATACTTCTCTAGATTCAGAGCCTACCAAGCCTGGACAACTCCCTTTTCTTCCTCTTATACTCCTGTCACTGAAGTAGGAAGCCCAGCTACAAGAGACGAGGCTAGGCCAGCTTCCTGATTCTTCTTTTCACTTTCCCTCTATGAAACAGATACCCGGCTGGGGGCCAGTAATCCAACTGAGGCTTTAGCTGTCTTGACACTAAGCACCAGTGGCAAATGTGCCCTCTACTGCTCCTCTAGTGCTGGGAGATGTGATGGATTGTTCACAGGAAAAAGAATGCACTGCTTGGTTCATTCTAGCTTACCATTATTTTCTACATTGAGTTTTTGAAGTAAAGTCTTAGTTAACAAAGTGCTACTTTGCCTTCCTTTGCCATTATCCTTTATATATTTTTCTATCTTGGAAACCTCATGCTAATGGGCTGCTGTTGTCTGGGCCAGGATAGCAGGATATGTCGATCACAGAGTCCCCTGGACATAATACCATCTTGATTACTTGTAACTGAAAAAATGAAAATAAAAGATTCTTCAGGGAAAAATGTGCAGAGGAAGAACGATAAGGGGCTAAGGACAGTTCAGGAAAAAGCATATGGCAATCCATTCATTCATTAGTAAACATTTATTAAGTACCTCAATGGATGAGGTACTATGCTAGTCACTACAGATATAGAAATGGATAAATTAGTCTTTCCCTCAAGGAGCTCTCAGTGTAACAGAAGTGGCATACACATGGATTGTAAAATGACCTGCTAGGTAAATAGAGATAAGTGCACAAAACTTTATGAGATCATCCAGGAGTGACAGCTAGGTAGTGTGGGGTTGGGAGGTGGGGTATCAGGAAAAGCTTCCGAAAAGAGTTGATGCCTACACTGAGTTTGAAAGAATGAATAAGTTAGCTAGGAGAAACAAGGGACTAGGAAGGGTATAGCCATTCTAGGAAGAGGGTCCAGAATGAACTTATCAAGCACAGAGTTGAAAAGAAGCATGGCTGCATATAGGGAGGTGGGAAGAACCATATACACTTCAATATTGCTATAGCATAGTATACCTTGCATAGTGGCAAAAGAAATGGATCTGCAAAGATAGACAGGGGATAGAGCATCATGAAGGGCATGTGCATCACTTGAAGGATTTTGTATTTCATCTTTGGGCCATGCTTTCCAAACTGCTTTCTACTGAGCCTCAGGATTCTTCAGGGGAATTGGTTGTAAAGAGTACAGGGGACTGAAGGACAGTCAAGTGAACAATACTCTGGGGCCCCAGGAGTGCCTTCAACCCAAGCAACTAATTTTTTTGTTTTATAAAATATTTAGAAAATTCGTATTTATTGCCTCTTATGTGCTAGGCACTGCCATATGTTAAGGACATGATCCCTACATGGAAAAAATGAGATGGCTATAGAGTCCTGCTAGAGGCCTGAATAGAAGTTAACCTGCAACAGGATATGGTAAAAATAAGGAAGAAATTGTTCCACACAGAAGAAATAGCATGGGCAAAGGCTCAAGGGAACAGAAAACAAGGCAGAGCTAGGAATTATAAAAAGCCCTTTATAACAGGAACATGTAGTATAAAGGGGCGATGATGAAAAATGAAGCTGGAGATGGGGTCAGGGGCTAGATCTAAAGGGCCTTACAAGTCATATTAAGGAGACTGCCAATGGGAAGCCCTTCTTGAGGTATAATCAGAGGAATACCATATTAATACCTGTACCTTAAAAATAGTACATTCAGCTTGATAGAGAAGAAACTGACAGACTGTAGTGAAGATAGACAGACCAGCTAAAAAGCTACTATAGGGCCGGGCACTGTGGCTCACGCCTGTAATCTCAGCACTTTGGGAGGTCGAAGTGGGTGGATCACCTGAGGTCAGAAGTTCGAGACCAGCCTGGCCAACATGGTGAAACCCCGTTTCCACCAAAAATAAAAAAACTAGCCAGGTGTGGAGGTGCGTGCCTGTAATCCCAGCTGCTCCAGAGGCTGAGGCAGGAGAATCACTTGAACCCGGGAGGCAGAGGTTGCAGTGAGCCAAGATCGTGCCACTGCACTCCAGCCTAGCTGACAGAGTGAGACACCATCTCAAAAAAAAAAAAAAAAAAAGTTACTACAGTAATGTAAGGAAGAGATGGTGATTACCTCCATTAGGATCAAGATATTGGTACTGGAGAAAACTGGATCGATCTCAGAATTATTTAGGAAATAAAGCAGCCAAAACTTGTTAACTGTTGAATGTAGGAGATGAGAGAGAGGAAGATATCAAGTATTCCCTAGGTATTTATTTCTATAACTGGGAGGATGGTATGTCATTTAATGACACAGGCATATAGGAGGAAAAGCAGGTATGGGTGATGTAGTACTAGGAGGGTGTAGCTGAATAATTTTAGACATGTTGAATAAATTTACAGTGCAAGTGAGACACCCAAGTGAGGCTATCTTAAAGGAAGCTGATACAGATTCAGAACTCATTAGCATAGAAAGAGATGAGATGGGTCAAGGAGAATATATAGAGAAGAGGAGAAGCGGACTTAGAATATAACCTTGGAAAATGCCAACATAAAAGACATGGGCAAATGAAGAAAAGCCTGGGGTGAAGTGGAGGAGTTCTTACATCATGACTTATATTTTCCGTATGGTATAGGAGGTGAGATCATCTTCTGGGAGTGAGGGAAGAAGTAAGAAGGTGGAAAGAGGGAAAAGGGAAAAGGTTGGAATAGGAGGAGGCTGAGGAACAGAAATAAATATTTAGAGAAGCAAGAGCAGTGGGCTAAGGACAGAATTCTCAGAAATACCAATAGTTAGGGGGCAAAGAAGAAGAGGAAGACCAGAATGAGACAGAAATGTGCTTAATCTAGGTTGAAGGAGATTCAAGAGAGTATGGCATCGTAGAAGACATGGGATACAGATTAAATACTCCAGTAAGATGCAGATTAAAAAGTGCCTACCAAATTTGGCAATACAAAGGTCACTGGTAATTTAAGCAAGATTGTTTTCATAGTAGTAAGCCAGACTATAAAATACTGCAGAATAAAGGGAATATAAAAAAGTAGAAGTTTGGATGAGAAAGAAAGAAGCTATATAGTGTAACTAGAGGGAGATGAACATGTCAGTAGACTAAACAAAATAGAACCAACAGAACGGGAGAGTTTGAGGATTCCAGGAAAGAGCAAGTTTCTAGAGAAGGCCGGGGAAGAAGATAATGATCAAACATCAGAAGGAAGACTTGTCCTTGAATAGGAGAAGAAACCCTTTTTCTGAGATTGCAGAAAATGAGGCAAGGATAGGTAAGACTGTAGGGGTGGGGAGGGCTGAGACACTGACAAAGATCAGAATATTATCAGGCATGAAGCAGCAGGCCAAGAATTAGGCTGAAAAAAGAGGTGGGGATTGAAAACAGAGAAGGTGTGGAATAGTGGTTGAGAAGTATGAAAATGCTGACTTATTAATAACAACAAGGATGAACAGGCGGCACTGTAAACCTAGCTGAGCTGGAGACCATGATTTCCAGTGCCACCACCCTGCTCATTTGTGTTTTTTTTTTCCCCAATAGCTTTTTAGCAGGCCAGGTATAGGACCAGAAAATGCAGACTGTAACACTGACCTAGGGCTGTGATTTTTCTAGTGGGTGTAATAGAAGAATGGTGCATTGGTGACTGGGAGATTTAGATGAACAACATGAGGTAGAAAAGGGTAAACTAGGGGAAAATAGAAACAAGGGTAATGGGAAGAAAAAGAAAGTTGAAATAAAGTTATGACTATGATCACAGAGTAAAATATTGGAATTTCAGATATCTGAAGTGAAAGAGCCCTAAAGTTTGGTCCTTTGAGTGGACGGCTAAAAATATAGGTAGAAGGAAAGGTCACTAGAGTTATGGATATCCAGAACTTTGAGACTGAAGTGTTAGACTGCACTGACATCAATGCTAAAGTCTAGTTCTATGGCAGGATTTGGAGAGGAAGAGGAAGGCTGTAGCCAAGCCTCAAAGTCTTCAAAGAATGAATTAGAACAACCAGGAGATCAACACAGACAGGTGGAATAAACCTCAAAGGAGAACAAGATCTCTCATGGGAAGGGAGAGTAATGACTTTTATATAATGTTTGCTATATACGTTGTTAAGCAAGAACTACCTGTATGACCACATGGGATGCCAAGTATAAGAAAATTTAGAAAACGCACGAGATTATTTTCCATATAGAGCCAACCCCAAAGTCAAGTGATTGGAGACATTTCAAAGGAGTTTCACAACACCACATTGGATTGTGATGTGAGAGTAAAAAATTACCTCAAGTCTTCTACTCTAAGAGACTAGAATAATGGTGATATCATTGAGAGAAATAAGAAAGGTAGAAGGATTTGCATTTCTTAGGAGAGGAAAAGGTTGGGATGGAGACAAAAGAGGTCAGTTTTGTATTTGAAGTGTAAATGGTAGAGAGGTTTTATAGATATTGGGACTAGAATTCTTAACATGTTTATAGAACTCAGCCTAGTGTTTTGCAGAAAGTAGATGTCCCAAATTTAAGTAGATTGTTAGGAATAAAAACAAAGGTTTGGAGTATTCTCCAAAGAGGTAATAGTTGGGGCCATGGAAGCAAATTTACGATGAAGGAGGCAGGCTTAGCTAACTAATACAGAGTATAAATACAGAAAGACAAGAGTATAAGATTAAGTGCAGCTGGGCACGGTGGTGCACGCCTGTAATCCTGGCACTTTGGGAGGCCGAGGCAGGCAGATCACGAGGTCAGGAGTTCAAGACCAGCCTGACCAACATGGTGAAATCCCGTTTCTACTAAAAATACAAAAATTAGCTGGGGGTGGTGGTACACGACCGTGATCCCAGATACTCAGGAAGCTGAGGCAGGAGAATTGCTTGAACCCAGGAGGTGGAGGTTGCAGTGAGCCGAGATTGTGCCATTGCATTCCAGCCTGGGTGACAGAGCGAGACTCCATCTCAAAAAAAAAAAAAAAAAAAAACTAAGTGCAGAACCATTAGAAGGATACATAAAGAAAGAAGTACAGTAGAAATAGCACAGAAGGAGTGGTCAGAGAAAAAGCAGAGATAACCAGGAGGCTAAAATGTTATGACAATGAAAAGAAAATAATTTCCAGACATAAGGAGTGGTTAAGAGTGTCAAATAATATTTTGGAGTCCCCTGACATGGCACGTCATTCATTTGTTTATTATTAAGATTACCAGCATTTTGAAACCAAACTGTATCAAGTTCATTATATACTTTTTGAATCCTAATAAAGTGTAAGATATAGAATAAAGTCATAATTTACTAGCCTAAAGATCTCTACCCCTAACCAGACCTTTAATATGTAAGTTTTTTCCACTGGGAGTAAGAATACATACCTTGAACCACAACATCTGGCTTTGGTACAGTAGAAAACCTGCGATTCAGGGGATCAATTTCTCCAGGGGCTAAAAATCCCTAAAGAAAAACCATAAAAAGACAGATTATTAAGTCTCAAAAGAGAAGCTAATATTTGAGGGAAAACAACATCCCTATGCCCATAACCTTGCACCATAACATTCAACAGACAGGTGTAGAAAGGAAACAAATGCCTTCACTGTATGAAAATGTTTGAACTCCCAGATTCACACCAAAATTCATTTTATCTAGAGTTAATTTCTATTGGCTGCCACAAATCCTTTTTTAGGTAGGGTATAAATATGTATGGTATAATTTTTTTTTTTTTTTTGAGACAGGGTCTTTCTCTGTCACTCAAGCTGGAGTGCAGTGGTGCAATCATGGCTCACTGCAGTTATGACCTCCTGGGTTCACGTAATCCTCCCACTTCAGTCTCCCAAGTAGCTAGGACTACAGGTGTGTGCCACCATGCCTGGCTAATTAGTTTATTCACGGAGACAAGGCCTCACTTATGTTGCCCCGGCTGGTCTCAAACTCTTGGACTCAAGCAAACCTCCCGCTTTGGCCTCCCAAAGTGGTGGGGTTATAAGCATGAGCCACTGCACTCAGCTGGGTATAAATTATAAATAAACAGAATGTTTTCTGGTTATTCCTCTATCTTCTTTGGATATACGTATGATTAGACGATTAGATCACAAAGCTTATCAGTAATTTAAGCCATTAGTCCTGCTGTATTCTCATTTGTTCATGTATCTGCTATGCCTTCCGTACATCAGAAATCTTTTGACTTGAGTTTCTGCCCTTTATGAAATGCGATGAACTCGCCTATTTTTTCCTCAAGAATACAAATCACTGGCCGGGCGCGCTGGCTCATGCCTATAATCCCAGCACTTTGGGAGGCTGAGGTGGGCGGATCACCTGAGGTTGGACGTTCGAGACCAGCCTGACCAACATAGAGAAATCTCGTCTCTATTAAAAATACAAAATTAGCCAGGCATGGTGGTGCATGCATGTAATCCCAGCTACTCGGGAGGCCAAGGCAGGAGAACCATTTGAACCTGGGAGGCGGAGGTTGTGGTGAGCCAAGATCGCGCCATTGCGCTCCAGCTTGGGCAACAAGAGTGAAACTTCGTCTCAAAAAATAAAATAAATTAAAATAAATTTAAAAAAAGAAAAAAAAAGAATACCAATCACTGTGGCATTCTTTTTATCAATACATTTATTTTATTTTAATTGAACGACAAAGTTACCAGGTAAGGATTATTTAAACAAACCATTCTGCCCACTTTTGCTGGATTCATTTAGTAATGTCGACTAAGAGTAATCAAACAGCCATGGTCACAGACACACAAGAAAAATGAACAAAACAGCTGCAAAAATCAGTGGTTATACATAAACAGGCCAAAGAGTCTATCTCAGATAGGATAGTTAAGTCCCACTCTTGATCCTCTAGGAGCCTGGGTTATATCTTATCAAAATAACATAGAGTGGGGAAGTAGACTTGCCAGATGATATGAAAATCTTCTGAGAAACAGAATGCCTCTGTGCAGGCTCAAAATGTCACAAAGAAGGTGGACACAAAGTCAGAAACTCCCAAATGCCTCATTAAGGGCAATCTCAACAGAATCTGATATAAGGAGCATTTAGAGAGCCCCTTAACAAAAAACAAACAAATGTAAAAACCCAAGCAAACAAAAAAAAGCCACGATGTTCCTAATCACTTATCATGGCACCTAAAAATATCAGTTAATTCAGTTAAAGAATGAAACATTATGTTGCTTGGAAACATTAGCACTTAATCCATTATCAGTAAATAACTAGCTAAGCACAAATGCATCTGTTAGTCACCAGGCAGGGCACTGAGGGGAGTTTTGAAAGGGATAGATCTGGGGCCTGAGCAGCTCCAAATACAGTGCCAAAGTAGGGAGTCCTGGGCAGCATGAGGGACATGGTTGCCAGGGAGCAAGAGCTTTTAGTGAGGGTTGGCTATGCTCCCTACTCTGAAGATCTGGAGGAAAACTATAATTAACGCAAAGTGCAAAAGGCAGAAGGCATCCTTCAGATTTAATGAGCTACTTAAAAATCTGATTATTATGGTGACTTAAGGCAGAAATAAGTGGGACAGCCTTGAAGATTCCTCTTACCTCTGCCATCAAGCTTCCTAAAATATATAGAGACTGACCCCACATGTGAGGTAATTTCCCCATGGGGACTCGGTCCACAGTGTGAGGATTCTGATATTCTTCATCGACCTAAAAGAAAAGATGAAGAGGCCAGATGAGGAATAATAGAAGGTTTAAGATACTGGACAATAAAAAGGCAGACTGGATTGTAATTTATACCCTATATAGCTATATATGCGATGCACTGAAAAGTGAAGCACTATTACTATAATCTAGGGCAGTGCTCCTCAACTGTGATGTGCATACAGATAACCTGAGGATCTTGTTAAAATGCAGATTCTGATTGAGTGGGGATGAGGTAGGGCCTGAAATCTATTTCTAACAAGCTCTCAGGTGGTGCTGCTGATGTTACTGGGAGCTTATTCTACTCATTCTCACCGGAATGGAAGACTATTCTCTCCCATGTCTAATGCTCTTTTGCAGTAGAGAAGAGGAACAATGTTACACCCGACTGGCATTTTGGGGAAATGACAGTCTGAAAACAAGACATATTCATTTTCCAAGCCTTACCTATTAAAACAGTCCTGGATTACTGGCCTAAAAGCAGAGAATACCAAATCTTGAAAGTCCACGCAGAACATCATCCTAGTTTTTACTAGCGATCTCTACATCATTCTCAAGATTTAGGTTTGGTCTTGTCCTTGTCTCACTGTGCAACAGTACCATCATTGAGACTGTTTCAAAATTTTTATTTTTAAAGGAATAAAATCATACTTATGTTGTCCTATACCTAAAGACAAGCTTTCAGAACAATAAAATAAGATTAAAAATTATTTGACTCAAATGAGGTAGTCTTATCAAGGTACTGCCCCTCTTCTCTATCAGCTATATGTTACGGCACTGTCTGACTCACCCTGTCAGGAGGAACACTGTACAGCTCTGGCAGAAGTGGGACTCCATTTTTGCCCTTGATGAGGACTGCTTCAAGAGCCTCTCTATACTCTTGAACCTGCAGATAAAAGAAAGGCAGGAAAAAAAAGACTTATAGAGAGTCCCTTTGGGGACCCAGGAGAAGACTGTAGCCAAAGAAGGTCACATTGCAAAGAAGCTAATTCACCCAGTAAAATAGAAAGGAAAGGGTATTTACTAAATGCTCGTTATAGGCCAAATATTATGCTAGGAGTTTTGCATACTTTAATGCATTTAACTTTAAAAACTATCCTAGGAACTATGTGTAATTAAGGCCTTTTTACAGGGAAATTGTCTCAAAGAGGTTGTAAATTTGTGGAAGATCAGAGCAAGTACACAGTTGAGTCCAGGGTGTAGCCATGGCAGTCTGCTTCCAAAGGCCTGTCTCGTTCCACTATGTATTTCTTAAGTATAGCTTCTAGATTTGAGGATGTATTGTCTTAAAACTGCATTTTTACCTGCCAAATTAGGTTCTATTATGGTCAAGTTTATGTTCTGTGCTTAACCATTTGCTAAAGCTTAGCAATATATAAAATGTAAAAAAACAAAACAAAACAAAAAACAAAAAACCAAAACTGTAATTTATGATGAAAAAAAAATATAGTCAGTTCTGCTATAATACTTTGTAAACAAACTTGTTCCAATGCTTCCCATATATTGGGGGAAAATTTGAGTATAACATGAATTTCATGTTTGGTTATGCACAATTTCATACTGAGAATGTACTCAGCTGAACTGGACCATGTAAGAATACACAAAACACACATGCATACATCTCAGGAGAACAATGAACTGTACCCATTCACATCTGTTGTTACTCCTTTCTGTCCAATTTCAGGTAACACTCCTTTCACCACTACTGAACTTACAAGCTGCAATCCTCTGATGGCCACCCTGGATATGCAGCCACATGCTTTCCCCTCTCTTCAGTTTTCTACCTCTTTCCTCTCAGCCTTTAAAAAAAATTTTCCCCTCTGTTTTATGCTCTTTTTCTCTGTTTTCTCTCACTCTTTTTAATCCCACTTTTGTTCTCTTCCTCTTGCACATTCTGTAGTGGGCACGAGAGCTAGGTGGGTGAGCTGGTGAGAACTTGCGTACACACTTGCACAAGCAAACTTTGGGTCTTTTTTAAGGTGAAAGTACCGTAACTATTGTGGTATTTAGGTATTTCTTTACTATTTACCATGTATAAAGCCATGATACTATTATTTTTATTAGGTTCCTATCATTTTGTATGTGTTACATTTTATGTGCTGCACTCCTTACCCCATTTTCTCACAAGCCCTGTAGTTTTTATTTCTTAAATATGCATAGCATGGTGATTTTTAAAGAATGCATATGGTCTGGGTGTGGTGGCTCATGCCTGTAATCCCAGCACTTTGAGAGGCTGAGGCAGGAGGGATAGCTTGAGCCCAGGAGTTTGAGACCAGCCTGGGCAACAAAGCGAGGCCCGTCTCTACAACAAACAAACAAACAAACAAACAAACAAAAATAGCTGAATGTGGTGGCAGGTGCCTATAGTCCAAGTGACTCAGGGGGCTGAGATGGGAGGACTGCTTGAGCCCAGGAGATCGAAGCTGCAGTGAGCCATGATCACGCCACTACACTACAGTCTGGGCAACAGAGTGAGAGACCCTGTCTCAAAAACAACAACAACAAAAAGATTGCATATGTATCATTATAGCAGAACTGACTGTACGTTGCATTTACAGTATGTCTTTATCTGTGAAATTCAAAGACTTTTAGGAATATATTCTTTAATGAATGGTGAAAAACTATTTTCATTATGTACAGAGAAACTGAAGAAGTCAATGACAATAGTTGGGCACTAAATGGTCAGGAGTGAAACCAAATTTTTTTTAAAAAGAAGAAAAAGGCCGGGCGCGGTGGCTCAAGCCTGTAATCCCAGCACTTTGGGAGGCCGAGACGGGCGGATCACGAGGTCAGGAGATCGAGACCATCCTGGCTAACATGGTGAAACCCCATCTCTACTAAAAAATACAAAAAACTAGCCGGGTGAGGTGGCGGGCGCCTGTAGTCCCAGCTACTTGGGAGGCTGAGGCAGGAGAATGGCGTGAACCCGGGAGGCGGAGCTTGCAGTGAGCTGAGATCGTGCCACTGCACTCCAGCCTGGGCGACAGAGCGAAACTCTGTCTCAAAAAAAAAAAAAAGAAGAAAAAAATAATCCAGGTCTTTTAACTCTTAGTGCCCTCAGCTAGTAGCCTGTAGGGAACAACTGTCTCTCCCCTATTAGGAAGACTTCCATCTTGACACAGGGTTGGTATACTATTAGCTGTAAGAAGATATAACAAGAACATCCAGCTGAAAACTCTTTCCCTAGCTTATTACCTGTTCTGCATTGCCACTGAAGACCCCATCAAGAATAAAGTATGTCCAGAACAATGGCCATTCACACTCAATGTTTTCAAATAGCTTCAGCTCAGCTGGTTCATAGTACAGACGATTGGGATCCTAGTAAAAACACAATAAAGTCTGTCATCACTCAGAGGTTAGATGTATATCTTTAGTTCAGAGGTATTATAACATGGGCTTTCATTACTGATTGTTTTAGAGGAGTTCAGGAAGGCAGAGCATGTGCATACTCCCTTCCCTTAGCAAGTACTCTATGATGCGACTTCTAACTAGTGGAATTGGGATAGCAATGGTATCACAAGAGGGTGTATGAAGAAATAAGATTGGTTTGCAATAAAGTTGAGTTTGGTTTTATATTTGTTAAGTTTTATGTAGTAGTAGGACATACAAATAGAAATGTTTAGAAGAGCAACTAGAGATGAGGGTTTGGGAATCATCTTCATAGAGGTGATTATGAAGTACAAGTTACAGCTGAGCTTTGTGAAATAGTACTAAATAAAATGAGCAAACTGCTTAAGAATGGAATCTTGGTAAACCCTCAGAGTGGGGCAAGGGAATAACAGAAAGAGAAGAATCAGGATAGTGTAGTGGGAAAATTAAAACAGGAAAAGAATTTCAAGAGAATTTAGGACTAGGTAAAAAGTGAGGTACTATAGAGAAGTCAAGGAGAATAAGGATTCAGAGAAGGCTATTGGATTGGTCATTTAAGAGCTTATGATGATGTTTCAGAACATGTAAGTTTAGTACACTAATAGGGGAAGAAGTCAAATTCAAGGCTAAAAAATAAAGTGGAAGAGAGGAAGTAGACCAGAAGAGTTTGAGCTTGATGATTTTTAAAAATCCATAATGTCTCTCAACCATCAAATCTAAGCTTTAAACAATGTTTCCATTACCAGTGAAAGTGATTCATATTGACTGTTCAATCTCTTTAATAATACTGAATTTTTCTCATTTATATTTCCAAGATGAACTTTTGACTCGTTGAATAAAAGAAACTTACCTTTTCAAAATCTAGCACTGTTTAGAACTAACCAACTACAAGAGGTGGAATGTGGGGCCAGAAAGATCTCCTGATGGAAAGATTTTTCCCTTTGTAATTGTTAAATATTTTGGGAGAGACACTTTGAGACAATGCAAATACCATTTCTGCATAAGTTTTCATCTACTGATTTTATCATGTATCAGCAGTTCTTTCTTGAAACTAACCAACACAAGAGGTAGAAGGACTACACCTTCCTCTATTTTACTTAATCCAGAAAGGCCTACAAATTGAGAACTTGGCAGCTAAGCCAAGTTCAACAAATATAGCAAACATCAGTTATTATAATACTACTTAGTGATCTCTATAAGTACCATCGGTGAGGTAAATGTTTTCTCTGAATGAGGCTGCAGGTAGAAGTGGCCTTTCTACCTTGGGTTCATTTTGGAGAAAAGAAACCTACCTCTTTAGGAGTTTTATATCCATCTCGTAGAAAGCGACAGCAACCATAACGACCCTGGGAATGCAAAGAAAAAGGATCAGCAGCTTGTACACTGGTACGGCCATGTAATTAATCAGAAATACATCCTTGTAACATCTCTATGTACCACCAACCTATCACCGATAAAGACACAATGCTTAAAACCAAAAAACCTGAAATCAATCCAGCAGCAGAAACAGATTTCAGCAGTGTGATTTCAAGTGAAGGCAAAATGACAGGCTCTTCACTAAAGCAGTGTTTCTAACAGTATCTTCTCTATGGCTATCCACCTAGGGTAAGTCTGTGACAGCCTAATTACTAATCTATGTGGTCCCATTCATAAGACACATACAGCTCATAAGACTCCATAAGCTTTTTTAAAAAACACATATTTTTTAAATTTTGAGACAATTTTAGATTTACAGAAGAGTTGCAAAAACAGTACAGAGAATCCCAGTATTCCTATCAACCACCATTCCATTATATTCACATCTTATATAACCATAGAAATTTGCCAAAACTGAAAAATTAACCTTGGTGGCTAGGTGTGGTGGCTCATGCCTGTAACCCCAACACTTTTGGAGGCTGAGGCGGATGGCACCTGAGGTCAGGAGTTTGAGACCAGCCTGGCCAACGTGGTGAAACCCTGTCTTTACAAAAAAATTTAAAAATTAGCCAGGCGTGGTGGCACGTGACTGTAGTCCCTGTTATTCAAGAGACTGAGGTGGGAGACTCACTTGAACCTGGGAGGCAGAGGTTGCAGTGAGCCGAGATCGTGCCACTATACTCCAGTCTGGGTGACAGAGTGAGACTTTGTGTCAAAAAAAAATTTTTTTTAAATTAACTTTGGCACGATACTATTAACCAAAGCACATAACTTATTTGGATTTCATCAGTTGTCCTTTTTTCTGTTCTAGGACCCAATTCAGGATCCCATATTGCATTCAGTTATCATGTCTCCTTAGTGTCCTCCAATCTATGACACTTCCTCAGTCCTTCCTTGTTTTTAATGACCTTGACACTTTTGAAGAGTGTTCATCAGTTATTTTGTAGAATGTCCCTCGATTTGGTTTTGTTTGATGTTTTCTCATGATCAGATTAAGGTTATGCATATTGGGAAGGATACCACAGAGGTGATGTGCCCTTCTCAGTGCATTGTATGAGAGAGTACATGATGTCAATATATCCTATTACTGGTGATGTTAACCCTGATCACTTGGTTAAAGTGGTGTCTGCTGAATTTCTCCACTGTAATTTTCCATTTGTAACTATTAAATATTTTGGGGGAGATACTGTGAGACTATTCGAATGTCCTCTTTCTGCTTAAGCTTTTGTCTACTGATTTTAGCATTCATCAGTTGCTCTCCTGAAATAATTATTACTCTAGTGTTTGTCTAATGGCAATTTTGTATTTCCTTTATTCCTTTAGCATTTATTAACTGACATTCTCCTATTAAGGAGATTTGTCTTCTTTCCTATATATTCATTTTTCAGTTATTTATTTAACTGAAATAACTGAAAAATGGACTTATGGATATTTCATTTATTCTCTGGGTTATAATCCAATACTATGATAGTTCTTTTGTTGTTCAATTTTTTTCTGTTTTGGCCATTAGAAGAACTTTTCAGTTGGTTCCTGTGTCCCTTTGACATGTTGCATACTTTTCTGAGTACCACTTTATTTTCTAGAACCGTATGATACTCCAGGATCCTCCTGTATCCTCCCTGCCCCAGTCAAATCAACCACTTCTCCAAGGAGCCCTGAGTCCTTTCATTGAGAATGACATTTAGAAACCAAAATTTGGACACTAGGTGTACTCATTGCCTCTGGGCCCTCTCAGTGGACAAAGTTAGGAAACACATATGGGAAGACACACATCCCTATATTAAACACACACACACACACACACACTTCATACTGACACTACCTTCTCTAATCCGACATCAGAAGGTTCATTCTAGGCTTTTCCCATTCCCTGTGTGTAACAGTGAGAAACCTAGGTCTCGTTATCCACTATATCTACTACATATTTACTTATTTGGTCAACCTTACTGTACAGATAAAGTAGTTTCAGAATTGCCAACCAGTACCCCTTTGAGAAACAAATTTATCAACTAGAGCAGGGGTTGGCAAACTTTTTCATAGAGGACCAGTGAATATTTTAGATTGTGCAGACTATACAGCCTCTGTTGCAATTACTCAGATCTGCTGTTGTACCTTGAAAGCAGCCATGGACAATAAGTAAATACACCATGGTTGTGTTCCAATAAAACTCTATTTATAAAAACAGATGGCCAGCCCACAGGCTGTAACTTGCTAACCCCTGAACTGGAGTACAGTGTGTGTATACAGTTATTTTTGTCTTTAGGTTAGGCTTGCAGTATCTAGTCAAAACACTGTTTTCCAAGACTTAGGTCAGCTCCTTTCCTTTCCATACCCTTTAGTATGGTTACCTGATTCATCTGTAATGTAATTAGATTCATTTTTCAGTCTGAATTCCATCTTTCTTGACACGCCCTGGTTGATTCTTTAAATTTACTTCCTGTGGCATACAATTCCTTGGCTTTTGACAAACATATAGTCAGGTGTCCACCAGCATAAGTCCATAGAGAACCATTCCATCGCCCTCAAAATTCTCTAGTGCTATATCTCTATAGACAATCTGTCCTCCCAACTTCTGGCAACTGCTGATCTGTTTTCCTCCCTATAGTTTTGCCTTTTCTAAAGTGTCATGTAAATGGAATCAGGCAGTATGTAGTCTTTGGGGTTTGTCTTTTTCTCTCATAGTAAAATGCATTTAAGAATCAACATAAGTGAAAATGCAGATGGCCAAAGTGATGAGAACAAGGAGGACTATACAATCCCAGATGAGTATAGAATTGGACCATATCAGCCCAATGTTTCTGTTGGTATAGACTATGTGAACCTAAAACAGGGTTTTACCGTAAGCTGTGTTCACTCTTTTATGCAAATGAAGAAGTTGCAAAGAATACTCATTGCAGCAGCCTTCCTCATTATGAGAAATTAAATAAATTTCTGAATAAATTGGCAGAAGAATGCAGACAGAAGAAGGAAATTTAAGATGTGCAAGAAGATTTAAGGATTTCAAAGAAAATAATGGTTCTTTGTGTTTAATGTTAACCTTTTTAAAATACAATACTGACAGAAGAAAACTACTGTACTCTTTTGTTTTGGTGGAGAAATAATGTCTGTCATGTGTTAAGTGTTATAGCAAAAAAATACATATGATTAATGAATAGTTTTTCTTTTGTAGAAGTAATTTGTAGAGATTGACTTCGTAAGCTACTTAAGACAACTTGCACTACTAAGAAAAAAATGTAGAACCATTTGGGAAAATGAAATTTAGTAGTTCCAAACTGCAAAGAAATGTCAATATTTGATTCCATTTAATAAAGAACAAAACCAATAGTATTTTTATTACTTTCATCAGAAACATTCCATGTTTTAACCTGAGCCTTGCAAACTTTTCATTTGGAGTTTGACCTTTTTTTGGTTGCATTTCATTTTTGGAGAACTTCATTAAAATGAGATTGGCAATTCAAATGCAGGTGCAGTTTTCTGTTAATATCATGCTGTCATGCTGTTGTTTAGGTAATAAGAAATATTAAGTATTGGCTTTAGATTTTGTAATTTTTTCCCTGAGTACCTGCTAGATTTCATATTCTAGTAGTCAATATATTTTCGGTGAAATGTAAAAATATTCCCATTCTCTTTGACCAGTACTAATTTTTGAGATCTTATTGCTTGTCACTTGAATCCCGTAATTGTCGTACATCTCTGGTGTAAGCAACATTTGATTTCTGAAGTGTGTAGATCACCTCTTCATATTTTCAAGATGTAAATTTACATTTCTGCATCTTAAAAACAGTTTGGCCATAATCCTAGATGCACGCTTCTAATTCATGTACCTTGCACATGTGACTTTTGTGAACAGAAATTTGCATGTATAATCTGTGTTTACTTGTAACTTTCTGGTTATATACTGCTTATATCTGTGGATTCAAGTTACTGAAGTGAATACCAATAAAAAAAAATCCTAGGCCATGTTCATTAGTTATACATGTTTGGAATGTACTGACAAAAAAAAAAAAAAAAGAATCAACATAGAGCACGAGGGCCGACTAGAGGTGCCTGATGCCTGTCTTCCCCATAAAAAAGGACCAAAACAACTAATAAACAACTAAAATTCAAGTGGAGTGTCTGAGGGAGAGCACTGTGGTACAGCAAGTGACTGGCAAGAACCCTGTGAAGTGGAAAAGCTCAGGATGGCAGCATAGAGAGGGGAGCGAGGCATCCTGGCTCTGCTGCCCCATCTCCTCTATTAGGATTGGCTCAGAGACAGGAGGGACTTCCCCTTGCAGAGAAAAGGTAAGCGAAAGGCTCCCACCATCTGTCATTGCCAGCCCAGACACCTGCAGTCCTTACTATAGGAGAATCCTACCGTCCTCCCAAGTTCTGAGCCCAGTTTGGGGAGCTGCCTAGAATTCACACAGCTGCATTACTCCAGAGTATGAGTACATGTTGTGCACTGCCTATTTCTCATGACCAAAGCTGCTGCAGCACAGTGCCATCTTGAAACTGGAGCTACTGCAGTAATGCAGTAGTTGGCCCCCCTACTCTGGGGGCCAGTAGCCATTGTGCCTCTCCAACCTTGACTCCTTGCCATCATTTCACCAACCCCACACAGGTGGCTGCAGTGCCATGACCTCAGCTGCTTGAAGCCTGGCCCCAAGAATGGCCATGACTCTGGTCCTGCACAGTAGAAAGTCAATCCTGAAACAGACGAAACAAACAGCCTGACGGACCCATGTCCCTGATCAGAGAAACAGCCCAGTGGCCCCACCCCTGGCAAGCCAGTTCCCAATCCCACACCCCCAAGGAACTCAGCATCCCTGCCCCTGGTGGGCAAACCAGTACCTGAACCACCTGACCTGCCATGTACCTATGACCTTGGCTAGAAAAGAGCCTGGCAGCCCTGTCTCCTCATGCATGTGTACATCCCAGGCCTGGGAATCAGTCTGTTCAGGAGCCCATCCCCCAGCAAAACTACCCACTACACTCACAAACTCCTGCAGCCTAGGCCATCGAGGTACTCACAAACATCAATTATGTGGATTACAGCTCAAGAAACTGCAGAGACTATAATAACTGTGTCCACCTAGAACCAAAGCCAGTGTACCCTACCCAAACCAACAACTTAGGACCCATCTCCAGAAAAAAATCTTTCCCTGTCAAAGCTGCTCCATAAATTCGAAGAGGTACCTGCTCCACCAGATGTGCATATATCAATGCAGGGACACAAGAAACATGAAAAGGCAAGAAACATGATACCTCCAAAGGGACATAATAATTATCTAGTAACAGATCTCAAAGAAAAGGAAATTTATGAAATGCTATAAAAGAAACTCAAAATTATGATCTTAAGGAAACCCAGCAAGATATAAAAGAATAAAGATAGATAATCAGGAAAACAATTCATGATCTGATGAGAAGCTCAACAGAGATATTATTTAAAAAACAAATTTTAATGCAGAAGAATTCAATTAATGAAATAAAAAACACAATCGAGAGCTTCAACAGATGAGATCAAGCAGAAGAATTTCTGAACTTGGAGGCATATCTTTTGAAATAAACCAGGCATACAGAAAAAAAACCAAGAATGAAACAAGCCTATAGTACTTGCAGAACACCATAAAGCAAATAAATAATCACATTATGGAAGTTTTAGAAAGACAAGAGATGAGAAAATGTGCAGAAAACCTATTTGATGAAATAATAGCTGAAAAATTCCCAATTCTTGGGAAAAATATGGATATCCAGATCCAGGAAACTCAAAGGTTCCCAAATAAATTCAAACCAAAAAATGTTCTCTTAAAGGTACATTATAGTCAAAATGTCAAAAGTCAAAGATGAAGAGAAAATTTTAAAAACAGCAAGAGAAAAGCATAAGGTTACATATAAGGGAAGCTTCATTAGACTAACAACAGATTTCTCAGTAGTAATCTCACAGGCTGGAAGAGAATGAGATGACATATTCTAAGTGCTGGGAAAAAAAAAAAAACCTGTCAGGCAAGAACACTATACTCAGAATTAGATCAACCTTACGAGAAATGCCTAAGGGAGTCCTACAACTGGAAGTGAAAGTATGATAACTATCATCATGAAAACATGCAAAAGTATAAAACTCACTAGTACAGCACATACAGAAAGGAGAAAGAGAAAGAGAAAGGAATCAAGCCTTACACTACAAAAAATCGCCAAACTGTAAAGATAAACAATAAGAGAGGAAGAAAGGAACAAAGGATATATAAAACAACCAGAAAACAATTAACAAAATAACAGGAGAAAGTCCTCATTTATCAATAATAACCTTGAATGTAAATGATTAAATTTCTCAATTTAGACGTAGATTGGCTGAATGGATAAGAAAAACAAGACTCATATGATGCCTACAAGAAAGTCACTTCACCTGTAAAGACACACACAGACTAAATTGGAAGGAATGGAAAAAGATGTTCCACGCAAATACAAACCAAAATCAAGCAGGAGTAGCTATACTTATATCAGATAAAATAGGTTTTAAGTTAAAAACAGTAAAAAGAGACAAAGAATGTCATTATATAATAATAAAAGGATCAATTCAGCAAGAGGTTATAATAATTGTAAATATATATGCACCTAACATTGGAGCATCCAGATATATAAACCAAATATTATTAGATCTAAAAGGAGAGTTAGATTCCAGTACAATAATAGTAGGAGACTTCAACATTCTACTCTTAGCATTAGATAGATCATTTATACAGAAAATCAACAAAGAAATACTAGATTTAAACTGCATTATAGACCAAATGGACCTAACAGACATTTACAGAGCATTTCATCCAACAGGTACAGAAAACACATCAGCACATGGAACATTCTCCAAGACTGATCATATATTAGGCGATAAAACATGTCTCAACAAACTTTTAAAAATTGAAATCATTATCAATTTTCTTTTCTGACTGCAATGAAAACTAAAAATCAATAACAAGAGAAACTTTTGAAACTGTACAGATACATAGAAATTAAACAACATGCTCCTCAATGAAGAAATTAAGAAAAAAACTTTAAAATTTATTAAAATAAACAAAAATGGAAACATAACATCCCAAAACCTATGGGATACAGCAAAAGCAGTACTAAGAAGGAAGTTTATGGCAATAAATGCCTACATCAAAATAGTAGAAAGATTTGACATAAGGCCGGGCGCGGTGGCTCAAGCCTGTAATCCCAGCACTTTGGGAGGCCGAGACGGGCGGATCACGAGGTCAGGAGATCGAGACCATCCTCTCTAACACGGTGAAACCCTGTCTCTACTAAAAAATACAAAAAACTAGCCGGGCGAGGTGGTGGGCGCCTGTAGTCCCAGCTACTCAGGAGGCTGAGGCAGGAGAGTGGCGTAAACCTGGGAGGCGGAGCTTGCAGTGAGCCGAGATCGTGCCACTGCACTCCAGCCTGGGCGACAGCGAGACTCCGTCTCAAAAAAAAAAAAAAAAAAAGATTTGACATAAACAACCTAATGATGCACCTCAAGGAATTAGAAAAGAACAAACAGAACCCCAAATTAATAGAAGGAAAGAAATAACAAAGACCAAAACAGAAACAAGTGAAATCAAGGCCAAAAAATACAAAAGATCAACAAAATGAAAAGTCTTTTAAATAAACAAAATTGGCAAACCATTAGCCAGACTAAGAATAAAAGACCCAAGTAAATAAAATCAGAAATAAAAAAGAGACATTATAACCGATACCACAGAAATACAAAGAATTATTAGAGACTATTATCAATAAGTATGTGCCAAGAAATTGGAAGCCCTTGAGAAAACAGGTACATTTCTGGACACATACACCCAAACAAGATTGAACCAAGAAGAAACAGAAAACCTGAAAAGACGAATAACAAGTAATGGGATTGAATCAGTAATAAAATGTACTCCAATGAAGAAAAGTCCAGGAATGGATGGCTTTATTGCTGAGTTCTACCAAACTTTTAAAGAGCTAAAACCAAACTACTCCAATAAATTGAAGGGAAGGGACTTCTTCCAAACTCACTACAAGGCCAGCAGTACCCTGAAATCAAAACTGACGAGGACACAACAAGAACAGAAAACCCATGGGCCAATATCCCTGATGAACACAGATGCAAAAATCCTCAACAAAATACTATCAAAACAAATCCAACAGCATATCGAAAAGATTATACACCATGATTAAATCTGATCAAGTTGGTACCTTGTATCTTTTTACTGTTGAGCAGTATTCTACTGCATGCATATAGTGTAATTTGTTTATCCCTTCCTCTGTTGAAGGTTTTTTCCAGTTTTTGGCAATTATGAATAAAGCTGCTGTAAACATTTGTGTGCAGATTTTTTCGTGAGCGTAAGTTTTCATTTCTGTAGGGTAGATTTCTAGGATGACATAGTTGGGTTATAGGGAGAGTATATGACTAAATTTATAAGAAACTGCCAAACTGTTTTCTAAAGTGGGTGTGCCACCCTGCATTACTACCAGCAATGGCTGTAGAAGCTTTAACACTTTTAAAAGAAACTGTAAAGACAACTCAGAAAACTTAAAGGTTTCTTGAAATCACAGTCACAGGTCATACTTAAGGCCCTCAAAGGCACAATTTACCCTTAAAGTCACAGCCTTAAATAAAACAAAGGCACATATGGACATACCTGAAGCTTGGTGATGATTTCCTGTTTCGTGAGCTCCACCAACTGGCTATCCTCTACTGCAAAGGCAGGGAAAGAAACCACTGAGAGTAGACTAGCATCAACCTCTTTTGATGTTGAAGCACGGGGCAGTAGTGAATTCAGGATAGACTAAGAGAAAAGTAGTTAAGTTTATATAAAAGGATGTATTTCTTCTCCCTTTACCCCAATATCTTATCAACACACATGATATCACTTTTGAATATGTTTGACAGAATAGAACAGAACATTCTTTATCTATTTTAAGTAGGTTATTAAATACCTTGGCATTATAAAACTAATAGCTTTAGTTTCAAAAGATTTATGTAGAAGTGGACCATTCACAAGAAAATCTAGACATTACTCAATAGTTAGAACTTAGAAAACCAGCAATTTCTGTAAATCATCCCTTGTCTTAATTCTGCTCTCAATACTTCCCTATCCTGATTCTTAACCAGTTACTCATGGATAAGGAATATTCTAACATTATTATACCACCCACAGTGCTGTTGCTCCATTAGCAACTACTTAAGAATAAAGTCAAGAGAAAACATAGCTGCTGAGAAGCAGGATAGGGAAGGCTCAGCTCCTCTACTTCTGACATATGTTTTTTCTCTGGGAAATTTTATGTTTTTAAAATTGGAGATGAGTTTATATTCAATAGGACCCTATGGTATCTAATCAGGGTTTAAAGAAAAGGAGAAAATTCTTCATGCCAATGAGAAAAGCCTTAATCTTTCCATATGGAGAGTAATCCTAAACAAAACTGAAAATACATATTTGCCACTTAAAGTCTAATCTCCAAATATCTAAGCTTAGAGCCAACCAGGGACAAGAGAATGTTTCAGAAACACTAACAAGAATACTAAAAATCTATCATCTCTTGTTTTCTTTATATATTTAGAAAAGGAGATACTCAGAAAGAGCGACCATATCCTTTTGATATGATAGTGGTGGATAATTTCATATAGTATGCTGAGATCCCTTTATAACCTTGGGCTACAGAACAGGATTATGATCTATTTTATAGCCCATGCTATATTAGGCTTATCTTGGTACAGTATGCTTGCTAAAGATATTTTTGATATATGGTAATTAATCAGATGATACACTCTCTCTCATTCAGCTATCCTTAATCTAAAGCTCATGCTTAAATCTGAGTCTGGGCAAGAATAAAATTTGCTATTTCCATTTTCCATAATCTCTTACCTGGCAGTGTTGTACTTCATCAGCCAGGACATGGATAACGGATTGAGGCCCACCTTTTACACCAAACAGATCCAGTTCATCTAATGCTTCCAGGGCTGCCTGTGAGGAACAAGAAAGGAAAGGACAAGTTTAGCATTAGAAAGATATATATTTCTTCTCCCTATACCCCATCTTATCAACCTACATGATATCACTTTTGAATATGTCTGACAGAATTTATAATAAAATAACATTATTTATTCCCAGGGCATTCTGAGTTTTTCTTTGTCTCCCATATTGTCTCAGAGAAAGGTAAGGAGTTTGTAGCACTATCAGGTTAAGCATCATACGTTAAGTAACATCATTGTACTCCTTCCTTCTATGAGTTCAACTTCTTTAGATTCCACATATAAATGAGATACTATGTTTTTTAAAATAGAATTTATTTGTTAATTTCTTACTTTTCTAAATATATTTTTTGATCATAAAAGTAAAACACACTCCTTACAAAATATTTTGAAAACATAGTAAAGTACAGAGAGGGCAAGAAAATCACCCAAAACAACCACTTTTAACATTTTTGACATGTTTTTTATTAGTTTTTTCTGTCTATTTGTGTACAGTTGAGATCACATCTGGCATCCTACTTTTTACAGTTGATAATATAGGATAAGTATTTTTCCACGTTACAAAAACTATTTTGGAATACTATTATCTCATATGGCTATAATAAAGTATATTTTAGCCATTTACCAATTGTTGGAAATTTAGGTCGCCTTTAATTTTGTGCTATTAGAAATAGAACTTTGATAAACATCTCTTGCTAAATTATAAATTCCTTGAGGTCAGGGATTATGTCTTCACTAATATCTAGCACACAGTATGGCATACGGTAGGCTCGCAATAATGGCTGTCAAGCTAATAAAATAGCTCTTTGTACTCATTTTGAATTATTTTGTAAGCATCAATTCCCTGAAGTAGAATCATTGGGTAAAAGAGTATGAATAATTTTTAAGGCATAATGCTAAATTGCTTTTCTTGCAAGTTGTACCAACATAGCTATCACTAGCAGTATATGACAATACCTTCCTTAATGCAAACAATGTATTATCTTAAATTTTTTTCCTAATGTGATAAAAAATGGTATATCTGTTGCATTCACATGCATTAAATTGCTAACAAGATTGAATATTATTTCTAGTATTTATTAGTTATCTGTAATTCCTCAATTAAGGGGCAGACTTGACCTAGTCTTGGGGGTAGAAGGCAGTTTTGAAAGTCTTCCCTGAAGAAATGACACCTAAACTGAGACCTATAGGGTAAGTAGAAGTTGGCCAGGCACAAAATACTCATTAATTACTGCCTTACTATTCTACTCCTTGCCCCCGCCAAAGTCATGTCCTTTTCACATATAACTACATTCATTCTAACCCCCATAGCCTCAAAGTCTTAACTCATTCCAGCACCAAGGATAAGACTCAAAAGTCCAAAATCTCATCTGTGAGTCTGAAATCAAAACAATTTATCAACTTTCAAGATACAATGGTGGTACAGGAATTAAGACAGACAGAGATATTCTCATTCCAAAAGACAGGAATAGCTAAAAAGAAAGGAACAACAGGCTTAAAGCAAGTCTTAAACCCAGCATAGCAGACATTAAATCTGAAAGTTGAAGAATAATCTCTTTTGACTCCATGCTCGGGTTGGGATTGGGTCTCTAAGGCCTCAGGCAGCCCTGTCCCTATGGCTTTGATGGGTGCAGTACAGGTGGCTGCTTCTGTGGGTTGAAGTGTGGTGCCTGAAGCTTTCCCAGGCAGGCCTTGCATGCTGCCAGTGACTCTACAGTTCTGGCATTCCAGTGGTGGTCCTGCCCTAGTGGGAACTCTCTGTGGAAGCTGCAACCCCATGTTTCTGCTTCAGTGTTGCTCTAGCGGGGGCTCTCTGTGATGGTTCCACCCCTGTGACGAGTCTCTGCCTGGGCCCAGAAGCTGTTTTATATATCCTTTGAGATCCAGGTAGAAGCTGCTATGCTTCTGCAGCTCTTGTATTCTGTGGACCTGCAGAATTAACACCACATGGATACCTTCAAGGTTTATCACTTGGACCTTTTGGAGTAGTGGCATGAGCTGAGTAAACACTGAAGCAGGGGTGCCGGGAGTAGAGTCCCAAGGCAGTCCTGGGCATAAAGAACACCATAAAGAACACCCCAGGCCTGTCCCCTGAAACTATTCTGCCCTCCTAGGCCTTTGGGCCTGTGATGGAAAAGGCAGCATCTAAGATCTCTGAAATGCCTTGGGGTCTTTCTTCCACTGTCTTGAGGAATAGCACCCGGCTCCCCTTCATCATGCTGATAAGTCCAAGGTCAAGGGGCCCTGTCTGGTGAGGGCCTCTGACTGGTAGAAACTCTGCAGAGTCCCGAGGTGAAATGGGATATCACATGATGAGGGGGCCTGAGTGTGCTAGCTCAAGTGTCTCTTCCTTTTCTTATAAAGCAACCAGTCCCATTCCCATGATAACTCACTAATCCATTAACCCATGAGTGGATTAATGCATTCATGAGGGAACAGCCCTCATGATCCAGTCCCAGCTTAAAGGCTCCACCTCTCAATACTGCTGCATTGGTAATTAAGTTTCAATATGAATTTTGGTGAGGGGGGACCACAAACATTCAAGTCATAGCAATTACAAAGGGAAAACAGAAAATTTACAGTGGAGAAACCTGGTAGATACCACCTTAATGAATTCATAAAAGATAACATCAACAGTAATGGGACAAATTCACATCATGTGCTTCCTGATAATAAACTAAGAACACAGCATCACGTCTGTGGTATTCTTGCCAAAAGCACATAATCTGAATCTAATCATGAGGAAATATCACACAAAATCAAATCGAGGATCATTCTGTAAAATAACTGGCCTATACTCTTAAAAAATGCTAAGGTCATGAAAGACAAGTAAGGACTCCAGACTGAAGAAGCCTAAAGAGACATTACGATTAAATGTAATATGTTATCTTAGACTGGATCCCGGATCAAAAGGATTTTTTTGCCATAAATCACATTATTGGGACAACTAAATAAATGTGAATGGGTTATGTCAATTAGGTGGCAGTATAATGCCAGTGTTCATTTCCTGATTTTGATGCTTGTATCATGGTTATAAAAGAGTTCTTGAGGAAATTCACACTGAAATATTTAGGAGTAATGGGGCTCATGTCTGCAATGTACTCTCTACTGGTACAGAAAAAAATAATTGTGTGTGTGTGTATGTTTTGTTTAATCAGAGAAAAAGATAAAGCAAATATTAACAAGTAGGGAACTTGAGTGAAGGATACTATATAGGAATTCTTTGTACAATTATTATAACTTTCCTCTAAGTCAGAAATGATTACAAAATAAAAAGTAAAAAAGTTTAAGTGGAAAAAACTTTAAATCAAATATACAAAAATACTGATAATATCCAGGTATTGAGAAAAATGGCAAAAAAGCTCTATATGTAAACTTGTAATAATAAGTACCAGTGCAAAAAGAAACAGGTTGTAATAACATGTTCTCAATGTTTGTTTCCAAAGGTATTTCTCTGTCAAACACTTTTATTCACTGAAAGAAACAGCTTATGATAAAAAAAAAAAAAAAGAAAAGAAAAATGACATCTATGGTATATAATGACATATATCCATCATATGAGGGTGGGGAAATGTAAACTAGTGGAAATATTTTTGAAGGGCAATTTAAAAGTATACATCCCTTAACTTTAGGGTTCCACTTTTAGGAATTTTTCCTATAAAAATATTTGTGTAAATTTACCTGGATGTATGTACAAGGATCTTCACTAAAGCATTATCTAGAATATTAAAAAATAAAGACAATTCTGTCAATGGAGCAATTATTGAATACTGTATAGCAGCTGAAAAGAATGAACTAAATTTGTCTGTCTGAAATGACATGGAAGGATGCTTGGTTATGTTGTTCAGTGCACTATGAGATTGTTAGGCCAGGCGCGGTGGCTCATGCCTGTAATTCCAGCACTTCGGGATGCCGAGGCAGATGGATCACCTGAGGTCAGGAGTTCGAGACCAGCCTGGTCAACATGACAAAACCCTGTCTCTACTAAAAATAAAAATAAAAAAATTAGCTGGGCATGGTGGCCTGTAGTCCCAGCTACTCGGGAGACTGAGGCAGGAGAATCTCTTGAACCCAGGAGGTGGAGGTTGCAGTGAGCCGAGATCGTGCCACTGCACTCCAGCCTGGGCAACAAGGCGAGACTCCGTCTCAAAATAAATACATACATACATACATACATACATATACACATAAATAAAACAAAAATAGAATGAAATTCTATTATGATTCCCCTTGTCCTCTTTGTTCTATGTAATATTTTTTACTTTGAATTCTACTTCACTTGACATTCACATAGTCACCCTAGCTCTTTTTCATGTTTGTCAGACTGTATTTTGCTCATCCTTCTGTTTTTAACATTTCTGTATCTTTTTTTTATATTAGAGCTCTTATAGACAGCATATATTGGATTTTCTTTTAGTTTTTAAAATCAATCTATGTCTTTGCATATTAGTAAGAGAGACTAAATCATGCATATTTCTCATAATGGATATGTTTGATCCTATTCCTGCTATCTTATTGTATGTCTTCTTGCTGTTTCCAGAGAAGACAAGAGTGGGTAGGATGAAAAAGTAGAGCCAAGTTGAACAGTAATGCTGTTGCTGCTAATGATGATGATGATGATGATGATGATGATGATGATTTGGGGGATGGAGGAAAATAAAGAGGACAGAGGATTGAGAGATGATTCCTTGATATAAAGCTTGGTCAACTGGTAAATGGAAGGAATAAAAGCCTTCTTTTGCTTGTTTTTGTAATGGTAGAGATGATAAGTTTAGTTTAAGTCCTTTCACGACCTTATGGGATATAATATAAGTAAACACATGCCACAAAAGCAGTTGGATATCAAATCTGCAGCTTATGAAAGTTTTCATCTACATATCCACGGTTCTACAGGAGAATCTGAATGTTGCCTGTGGTTTAAAATAATAATTAATTTGATTATGGTCCACACTCACATTAAGTTTTATCTGTGACAAAGGGACACCAGACTTCCTTATCCCATGCGCAGTATAAACAAGAAAGGAAAATTACCTTTGCCATTCCAACTGAACTGGCATTCAACTCTGAGATCCCTTGGTTGGTCTTGTCTCCACGTTCCCATATCCCGAAGTCCTGGCATAAAATAACCAATATACAATTAGCAAGTCATAACTACTAAATACTTCCTAGATGCAGGAAGTGTTTGCCCTTGAACATAAGACACTAGGAGTAACTAATTTTATATATATATACATACACACACACACACATACACACACATACCCACAATGCTTATTAAGGAGATGCTAATGAGTTGGGTGGCCCCTGCAGCTACTTTGCCAATAGCTTTAAATTCTACTGGAGCCTCCAAGCTGTTGGAAGACTCCTCAACAGTTAATCAGGAGTGCTAAGAACTATAACTCAGTCTATCTGGAGAGGTGCTTCTCAAAATTTTTCATTAAAGCAAATACCCAGTAGATCTGGAAGATGGAGCCTAAAGAGCAGCCTAATATTTTATTGTAAATGTTCATTCTAACTTTACTCTCTATTGGTACTGACAATGTACCATGCACTTATTTATGCATTTTACATTATCTTCCTTAATCCTTACATTTTATAGATGAAGAAACTGATGATGCAAAGAGAAGTTAAGTGACTCACTCAAAGTCACACAGCTAATAAGTGACAGAGCCAGGATTACAGTCCAAGGAATCTCACTCCAAAGCCTACCCTCTTAGCCAGAGCTCTATAAATCCCCTCAATCATACAGCTTTTAAAATTACTTTTAAAACTTTTTATTTTGGAATAACTTTAGACTTATACAAAAGTTGCAAAAACACTACAAAGAGTTCCCATATGCCTTTCACTTAGCTTCCCCTAATGTTAACATCTAACATAACCACAGTGCAATAGTTAAAGCTAAGAAATTAACATCAGCACAATACTATTAACCAAACTATGGACTGTATTTGGATTTTACCACTTTTTCCCCACCAATGGCCTTTTTACATTCCAGGGTCCAAACCAGAATTTCATGCTGCATTTGTCATGTTTCTTTAAGTCTCTTCTAATCAGTGACAGTTCCTCAAGTCTTGTCTTTTGTGACCTTGACACTCTTTGAAAATTAGTGATCAAGTATTTAGTAGATTTCCCTCAATTTGGGTTTGCTTAATGTTTTCTCATGATTAGACTGAGATTATGCATTTTAGGCAAGAATATGTATTACAGACATTATGCTGTGTCCTTCTCAGTGCATCAGAGCAGGGATGTACAATGCTGAAACATCTTATTACTGGTGATATTAACCCTTCTCACTTGGTTAATGTGATGTCTGCTGGGTTTCTCAATTCTACTGTTACTATTTTTTCCTTTTTAATTAAGAAATATCTTGAGAGAGATACTTTAGGAGCATGCAAATATCTTGTTTCTCTCAAACATTAACCCACTAATTCAGCATCCACTGATGGATCTTGCCAGAAACAATTATTACAGTGGTGTTTTAATGGTGATTTTCTAGTTCTCTTCATTACTCCTACAGCCATTAGTTGCAACTCTTCTCTAAGGAAGAGCTGTCCTTTCTCTCCCATTTATTTATTTATTTATTTATTTATTCAGTTATTTATATTGCTATGAACTTACAGATATTTAGGTTTTTCTCTGGCTTATAATAAAACACTATCACTATTTATTTTGTTGTTCAAACTGCTCCAGCTTTGGCTTTGGGTGCTCTTTCAGGTTGGCTCCTGTGACCTTTTGACATGCCTATTCCTTTTTGAGCATGGCTGAACATGGTAGGTCCTGCCTGAAATCCCAGCAATTTAGGAGGCTGAGGTGGGAGGATCACTTGAGCCCAGGAGTTTGAGACCAACCTGGGCAACACAGTGAGACCCTGTTTCTACAATTTTTTAAAATTAGCCAGGCATGATGGTGCTTGTCTATAGTTCCAACTACTAGGGAGGATGAAGTGGCAAGATAGCTTGAGTCCAGGAGGTTGAAGCTGAAGTAAGCCATGATTGCACCACTGCATTCTAGCCTGGGCATCAAAGAGAGGCCCTGTCTCAAAACAAAACATAACAAAACAAAACACTCCCTTTTTGAACATTTTTTCACTTTTTGGCACTGTAAGACGCTCCAATCTTATCTCGTATTTTCCCCACCATAGCCCTGGAATCAACCACTTCCATAAGAAGCCCTGGTTTATTTGATCAGAAAATGATAGTCAGAATCCAAGACCTGGGCACTGGGTACGCTCATTATCACTGAGGTGTCATTGCTTCTAGGCCCTCTTATGAAATGGAACTTGCAAACAGACATGTGCTCACGTGTATGTGCATGCACACACACACACACCCTCCCACCACATCTATATCTCTGTATCTACCTTTAATTACTTTTCATGCCAAATCTCTGAGTTAAAGTGAAGTTTCAGGAAGGTAAGCCATGATGGTTGGCCTTACCTGTCCCCCAATCCAGCTCCATTCTAGTTTGTGCAGCAAAGGTTAGAGTATGAGAATACAGAAATATCAATAATTCTACTGTTATAATCATTGGATATAATGGAGAGGCCAAAGAACCCTAACTTCCGCACTGAACCACAGCAGGCCTGTGGTGTCAAAAGCAAAGCCATCAGTCAACAAATAATGTCTGTTTGCATAAAATTATCTATGTTAGGTTTGTGTTTCTGGTGAATATGAAGTAACAGGTTCCAGATTTACCTTCCCACCTGCAACAACTAAAAAACTATTTATAACATAATGGTTTTCAATACAATGAACATCACACAATGAAGGACAATGATTTCTGAGAAAGTGCAGCAAATAGGATGAGTCCTATGACTGTCCCAGCCTACTGTTGTAAGAGTTTCCAAGCCACTATACAGGGAGGAGAAAACTAAACAGAGCCTGGCAGACTCCCTGAGTTGAAGAAATGGAGCTAAGAGTACAGATACACCAAGGTAACCATAATTTGCAGGACAGATTAACAGAGAAGAGAAAGCTACACAGAAAACCACAGAAATCTGCAGAGGGTCCGCCTCAAATATTCAGCAGAATAATGAAGAATGCATGTAAGTGAGAAAACTACTTGAGGCTAGGGAAAGAATCACCCAAAGAATTAAAGGGAAAAAATACCTAGTGCTCACACAGGACAAGAAATAGTGCCTGTTCTAACTAACCAGACTAGAAAACTTCATAATTCAGGGGCATGGGGTAGAGTATTCAGAAGTGTCTTATTACCTATGTAGTGGGGGAATAACTAGCTCCAGACTAGACATGACTCTGGTCCCATGTAACACATTTTAAAAGTAATAATGGATTAAACTGTTTTCAACTAAATTAACTAGGTCCCTGAACAAAACTCGGGAATATTTACAGGAATACAACAATATCTATGATGCAACAAGGTAAGATTCATGATGTCTTTCATCCAATAAAAAATTACTAGGCATGCAAAGAAGCAGGAAAATATAGCCCATAATGAGACAAACCAATCAACTGAAACCAACCTGGAACTAACACAGATGTTAGAATACTCAGATAAGGACATTAAAGCATGTATTATAACTATATTCTATACATTCAGAAAGCTTAGTAGATACATGGAATATAGAAAAATAGACTCAAATTCAACTTTTAGCGATAAAACTATATCTGAGCTGAAAAATACACTGAGTGGGATTGGTGACAAATTAGACATTGTAAATAAAGAGATTCGTGAAATCGAAGGTATAGTAATAGAAGCCATGCAAAATGAAACACAGAGGGAAAAAAGAATTAAAAAACTAAACAGTACATCTGTGAGCTGTGAGACAACATCACACAGCCGAATACACACGTTATTAAATACCCAAAGGAAGCGGGGGAACATAAAAACAGTATGAAGAAATAATTGCTGAAAACTTTTGATGAAAACTATGTATGCACAGATTCATGGAGCTAAATGGACCCTAAACAGAAGAAATGTGAAGAAAATAACACCAAGAGATATCATAATCAAAGTATTTAAAATCAATAACAAAAGAAACTTTTCTTTTTTTTTTTTTTTTGAGACGGAGTTTCACTCTTGTTGCCCAGGCTGGAGTGATCTCGGCTCACCACAACCTCTGCCTCCTGGGTTCAAGCAATTCTCCTGCCTCGGCCTCCCAAGTACCTGGGATTACAGGCATGCGCCACCACACCCAGCTAATTTTGTACTTTAGTAGAGACAAGGTTTCTCCATGTTGGTCAGGCTGGTCTCAAACTCCCGACCTCAGGTGATCCGCCCACCTCGGCCTCCCAAAGTGCTGGAATTATAAGCATGAGCCACCGTGCCCAGACATAAAAGAAATTTTTAAAAGCAGACAGTGGGAAAAGGCACATTCATGTAGAGGAACAAAGATAAGGTTGACAACAAATGTGTCATTAGAAGCAATACAGGCAAGAAGACAGTGGAACAATATTTTTAAAGTACTGAAAGACAAAAACATCTGCCATCATAAAATTCTATACCTAGTGAAAATATTTTTCAAATACGAAGATGAAATAAAGACTTCTTCAGGCATACAAAAGCTGCAATAATTCATCACTAGAAGAATGAAGAAATGTTAAAGAAAGTTTTTCAGGCAGAAGGAAATAATGCCAGTTGGAAATTTGAATCTACATGAAGAAACAAAGTACACCAGAAATGGTAAATGAATTTCTAATTTTTATTTAAACATATTTAAAAGATAACTGTACAATTAACAGAAATAAAAAAATAATGTGTTGGTCACAAAGGAGGAGGGTGGTTAGTAAGAAGTGGAAAACAAGCCGGGTGTGGTGGCTCATGCCTGTAATCCTAGCACTTTGAGAGGCCTAGGAGGGTGAAATTGCTTGAGTCGAGGAGTTTGAGACCAGCCTGGGCAACATAGCAAAACCTTGTCTCTACAAAAAATACAAAAATTAGCCAGATGTGGTGGCATATACCTGTAGTCCCAACTACTCAGGAGGCAGAGGTGGGAGGATCACCTGAGCCTGGGAGTTTGAGGCTGCAGTGAGCCATGATCGTGCCACTGAACTTCAGCCTGGGTGACAGACAAAAACAGAAACAGAAATGGAAACACAGCAAAGGGGCACACAGAGAAGACACCTTTGGTGGTGTGTCTCCAGTATTGTCCTGGAGTAATTGACTGCATTTATATACTCAACAAATAATAATAACTTTTGTATCCTTACGGAGGTATAACTGATATACAAAAAACCTGCACATATTTAAAGTGTACAACTTGATTAATTTTGATATATGTTTTCAGGCATGAAGCTATCATCATAATAATGAATATTGCAAAATTTCCAAAAGTCTTCTCATACTCTTCTGTAATTCATCTCTCCCTCTGCTCCTGTCCTGAGGCAATCATGGATCTGCTTTCTGTCACTATAGATTTCTAGAATTTTATGTGAGTAGAATCATACAGTCTGTACATTTTTTGTCTGACTTCTTTCACTAAGCATAATGCCTTTGAGATTCACCCACTGATGCATGAATCAACAGTTCATTCCTTTTTATTGATGAGTAGTATTCTATTTTATGGATATATCACAGTTTGTTTATCCATTTACTTGTTGATAGATATTTGGGTTATTTCCAGTTTGGGAGATTATGAATAAAGCTTCAGTGAACAACAATGAAAAGTTGTCTATGTTAGACCATAGAAGAAAAAAAATTGCATTCCTGTATAGTGTCTAACTTAACATTTTATATAGAGAAGATGTTAAATATATTATGATTTAACAGAAACCTACCTCATATGGTAGTTGTAAGGAAAAATAACTTTTTTGCATTGTAAGCACTGAATCAACACCTGCAGATAATATTACAAACATGACTAAATTTTGTTTCTAAGTAGCTAACTGACCCACAATACAACCTAGCTATCTTGCTCTTAAGACCTTAAATCATTAAAATAAGACCACAATTTAGCCCAGATTGCCAAATACATACCATGAGATATCACAGAGTTTGAAAGGAATGAAAGAATAGCATCCTGACCCTCTTGTCTCCGTAACCCCCTTGAAGAGAAGACATAGGATCACAGGTCTTAATAAAGCAAGAGGCTAAAGAGTTTCTGCCAGAAGCCTTTTAGGTTGGTTCACTATAAGCAGTAGCATTAAGAAACAACTGAGTTGCCCAGTATTTAGAAAACAAAAACATCATATGTCTAAAATCCATTCTAAAATGAGTACTCACAGCAGTTTTATATGCAGCTTCAATGTAAAACACAAGGTTCTGTATGAAATTGACTTCATCTAGGCTGTGGACGATATGGAGTCCTGAGGAAAGAGGGAATAAAGATACAGAACTAGTCAATTATCACTGTAAGCTTTATAGGCAGCCATAGTGACTAAGTGACCTCACTAGTCCCAAGTAATCCTACTCCTGTCTAGGAACAATGGAAGGTACTTTGATCTTAAACTATAAAAACAAGACCACAAACAAGCCCTAGGCTAGTCTCCAACTAAGCGAGATATAAGCATATTTCAACATGGAAGAATTTTAACTGTTATTTACAGATTTTACCAAAAAGTAAAGGTTATAGTATAATTAGTATATGTAACTAATTTATAATATGCTTAAATGTACAAACCTAAGCACTTGGGGAATAAAAGACAAATATTTCAAAACTGAGCTGGAAGGGGTCTAAATACTAAGCAAGAAATAGATAAAATTATGATTTTAAAGAGGACTTAAATTGCATTTTTAAGTAAAAATAACTATTCTAAATGTAAGCCATACAAAGATATTATAACTTACACACGGAGTGTTTTACATGAATTATCCATTTAATTTTTACAACAACCCTAAGAGGTAAGCACCTCTATTTTCTCCATGAGGCTTAAAGGAGTTAAAAATTTTCCTAAGGTCATGTAACTAACAAATAGTGGAATCGGGACTCAATTGACTTGTCGATTTCAGTTTCATTTCAGAGAATGCTGAATGCAGTTTCATTAGGAGGTAAGATGTTACACTGCCTCCTAATATTTATAATATGATCCATTTTTGCTTAAAAACTCCTTTCTTTATATCTCCCCCCTCAAACATACAGAACTACAAAAATACATACCAGGAGGATGTTAGTTAATAGCAGTTATCTTTGGTGGTGAGATTCAAGGTAGTTTTATCTTTTCTGGACATCTTTGCAATTTTACAGTATTCTACAAGAAACAGGTGCTACTTGTGTAATGTAAAAAGTTATATTAAAAAGCAAAATCATAATAAATCAGAAAACTGCAGGATATATTTCACAAAAATTTATACAAAATTACTAAATCCTGAGCACTAAAAGTTTTTATACATGTAAAATTTACTAAGCAGTTTTTAATACACCTTTTATAACAATAAATATTACTGTGTACATATTAAAGACTTGGTTTAGACTACTTGATTCTAAACTAAGAAATCATTTCAGAATTTAAAAATCAGGCAGCTAATTTTTCCTTTCCAGTCTATAACAAGCAGGAGGAAAAAGTGAACATCAGGTTAGCTGTAGATACTAAACTTTTAAGCTTCTCATATTTACTTGGTGGAGGCTATTCTATTTAAACAAAAAATTTTGTGTCCACATTTGTCACAAAAACACATGTGCTGGTTTAATGGAAATGAGTACATATGTCAGCTATGTAGTTGTGTTATAGTCAGAAAAAAACAAGAATTTCCAGTTTGCTGAACAGTGGGCATATCTAGAGCAATTAGATCTAGGTGAAAAAAACTTCCTTAAAAGGGCTTGAGAATGGAAAAAGTCCTCTCACATTCTTAGAAGCATGACGTAAAATGATTGTCAAATGTTTCTTAAAGTCACCTTTCAAATGAACTCCACTGTGAATATCCTGAACACCCATTCCAGTTCAGAAAGAATTCTTAGAACTAACACGCCCTTCGTAAGTCAGTACTTAGTAATACTCTTTCATGAAAAAAATCAAACTGTACTGAAGGATAACCAGTGAGTCTTGCTGCTACCCAGAACCACATCACCTTCACCACTGCCAAATCTCTCTGGAGAAACCTGTTTTACCAGTTTCTTCTGTATCCTTTCAGAGATATATTATGCATGTACAAACATTACACAAAGGATAGTACTGTATATTATACTGGTTTTGCTTTTTCATATATAAGTAACTTGGAGATAATTTCAAATACGTCTGTCTCATTTTTTTAATGTCTACAGAACATTTCACTGAATGGTTACTCATGTAACCAGTTCCCTACTGAAGGACATTTAGGTTGTATCAAATCTTTCATCACTAGAATGTTGCAATGAGTATTTGTGTAAATATATCTTTATGCACATGTGCCAGTATATCAGGGCAGATTCTTAGAATTGCTGACCCAAAGATGTAAGCATATTATTTTCCAATGTTTTATTATGAACACTTTCAAACAAACAAAAAAAAGAAACAATTTTACAGAGGACTCCTGTATACTCACCACCTGAACTCCACCATTAACATTTTAGTGTACTTTGTTCATCACGTATTCTATCCATCTTCCTTTTTGACACATTTCAGAGTAAGCTGCAGATATTCGTACACTTCCCTCTAAATACTTCATCATGTATATTAAATTTTGATAATCATCTCCAAGTTATTTTTCAAACAAATTCTACAGTTTATATACCAACACTGACTGCCTGTTTCCCTACATCTTTGCAAACACAGGCTTTAATAACAATTTTTAATCTTTGTCTCACTTTAATTGATAAGAAATAGAACCTCCTTGTAGTTTAATTTCCAATTTTTTATTATGAGTAAGGTTGTGAATCTTTTCATATATTTATAAGCCATCTGTATTTCGTATTTCTTTTCCTATGAACTATTTGGTCACGTCCTTCAGATTTTTACTGAATTGCTGGTCTTCCTGTTACATACATATACCAGTCTTGGTATATATATGGTCTTAGTATATACATATATATATGTACCATCTGTATAATAATAAGCCTCATTCTCTGTCGTTTTTAAAAACAATTTTATTGAGATACATAAAAAGTATGCATTATAAGTATATATTCAATGGTTTCTAGTGTATGCACAGTTGTATGACCATCACTGCAACTGATTTTAGAACATTTTCATCACTCCAAAAAGAAATCTTGCACCCATTAGGAGTCATCATACATATATATGTGTGTACCAGAAAGACTGACAATAGAAATCAGAGGCTGAGAGAAGGCAGAAGTATGAAATTGGCCTTATTCATCTCTTAGATTTGTATCACAGCTATACCATACAAATGCCACATATTTCTACCACTTATGTCCTTTTGCTCATAATCTCCATTTAAATGGCCTTCCCTTCCTTTCCATATCTTGAAATCTCACTGTTCTTTCAAGGCCCAGCTCAAACACTACCTCCTCTGTGATGCTGTCATTGCTTCCCCTCTTCTGTGGTTCATACATATTGTGAGTGTGTGTGTGTGTGTGTGTATTTGCTCAGCATTAAACTTTAAAAAAATTTTTCCTGGCCGGGCGCGGTGGCTCAAGCCTGTAATCCCAGCACTTTGGGAGGCTGAGACGGGCGGATCACGAGGTCAGGAGATCGAGACCATCCTGGCTAACACGGGGTGTTACCCCGTCTCTACTAAAAAATACAAAAAAAAACTAGCTGGGGAAGGTGGCGGGCGCCTGTAGTCCCAGCTACTGGGGAGGCTGAGGCAGGAGAGTGGCATAAACCTGGAAGGCGGAGCTTGCAGTGAGCTGAGA